TTCACCACTGAAATCTTGAGGGATTTCAGTGGTGAAGATGGTGCCTTGAAGTCTCTAAAGGGAGAGGGCCACCCCCTCTCCTTGTTGTCCTTGAAAAGGTCATGTTTTGGCCTCTAAAGGGAGCCTATGTTTGAGTGTGTGTTGAGCATGTATAGACTATTTTTCATGCTTATTTTTCCATAATATAACATGATTTTAAATTGGTTTTGGTACTCCATGCATGCTTAGCATAGTTGCCATGTAATGCCTTATGATCCCTTAACATGTCTTAGCATTTTCTGCTTTGCATTTCCTGTTTTACATCAATTTCAACATATATGCTTTCTGCTTTGCACTTTCCGCATCTATTCATGTTGCATGCTTTCTACTTCACATTTCCTATATCTGTTCACATACATTATTGATCAAATATCACTGCACTCTCCTTACAGCTATGAGTGTATGATTATTTTACGACTCTCGCCCCAGAGCTTGTGGAGGAGCTTCCCTTAGCGGTCCCCTATTCACGGAGGTATGACGGCCGGCTCTAGCGTCGGACTCGTGAGACCTTCAGCTTCTTTTGTCACTATTTTGACACTGTGGCTACTCATGAGGTAACCCAAAACACAATCATTTTCGCATTAACACTGGTCTGACTCACATTACAACTGATAGCAACTAACAACTTCTATTTACAAATCACGTGGCAGCCATGGGCCATGATGCCAACGGGCATTCGGGACCAGTATGCTGGGGCCTAAGGCACTTACCCCTTCCGCATTCTATTGGAGGGCCCAGTGTGCCGAGCCTGGTTTCTGAGCAAGCTGTTCGTACGCTAGACTGTGGGCCTGCTTGATCTGATCATTCCGATGGCGCCGCCTGAGTCTATGAGGACAATAGACAACCTATCCATTGAGGAGGTCACCGAGCTTATGGTGGGCTTGGATGTTGACTACTTCTGAGCCGAGGGCAACTATGCAGCCTTTATTCAGACGCATCTGATTCCGCCTTTAACAGGCACTTGTGGAGGTGAGGGAGCGAGAGCTCCTGCTGTGAGAGAGGCGCCTAGAGTGACCCGAGTGACCATGGCCTGTGGTAGAGGGGCTTCCCAAGCAAGGCAGATGACCGCCTGGATAAAGCTTCCCACCGCACTGACATGCCGGCAGCACACCGAGGATGCTTACCAGGTCTCGATTGAGCCTGTAATGGCAGGGCACGAGCTTGTCTGGATTTGAGGCCCGAAGTGGTTTGCCAGAAAAACAAGTTTTCGTAACAGTCGACAGATCTGGGCAGATTCTGGGCAGATTCTGGAACAGTGTTGGATTATTTCCTAAATAACTTAAAATCGGGAAAAGCAATCCCATTTCTGAAAAATGTTCTAGGAACTAGATCAAATTCTCTACGAACCATAGGAAAACCGAGTCCGGTGGATGGACCTAAGTAGTCCTTCCCTATTAACCTTCAGGTGATGTTAAATCTGGAAATTTGTTATGTTTGGATGTTTTATACCCTTGTATTCATGAAAATGTTTAATGGCTTATTATCATATCTTGGCATAATGTTGTATGGGTATGTTATGTTATTTATTTTCTTATCTTGAGGAGGCATGCTGATGTGAATTTTATTTTATCGTTTAGTTGAACTAACCTTGACTAAAAACACCTAATTCAACGGGAAACCTAATTGGGTGGGTATTGGGTTTTCGAACACTTGAGTAATGAAAAGATGAGTAAATGTGATATATGGATTGTTGGGATGCATTCCCTATTCGAAAGTTAAAGTCTTGTGCGAGTGGTTTTCGGAATCCTTGAACGGAGGGGTTGTATTCGGACCCTAGGTAGCTTGGTGTAAGGAGGGATTTGGGCAAGGCCCTATTTTTACCGTCTCTTTTGAGGCCCTGCGGTTGGCACTACGCAGTATATAACTGTTGGTAGGCATCCGAGGTTAGTTCTGCAACAAAGCAGTAAAATAGGGGGCATACCGAATAATCCGCGTCCGATTCTTGTGAATGGGAGGACGAAATCTCTTTGGGGGATTTCTAGTTTACTAACATCTGACCTAACTCTTTACTTATTTATTTGAATATCATGATTTACTACTTGATATTATAATTGTGATTGTGTATTGGACTGGGAAAAAGGGACGGGTTGTGTGTATGTGTTTACTGGGCATTCAAAGCTCACGGCGTATCATGCCAGGTGACGAAGCAGAATTTATAGCTGGAGACGATGAGCCCGAAACCTTCGAAGACTTTTGGCTATCTTAGGAAAGCTAGAAATTTCCTTTTGTTATTTTGTAAGAACTCATATGAAGTTTTAAAGCTTCTTTTGGGATGTAATGTAATAGAACAAGCTTTTGAATTTAAGGATATTCGTGGTTGTTATGCACTTATACTTTAATATTTACATGTATGAACCTTATCGTTGCTTATGAGACCTTGTGTCAATGCCTTTTAAGATCTGTCAAAAGGGTAGTGCGCTGCCTAAGAAAGCTGGACTTAGAAGGGAGGCTAATCTGACTCCTCCGGTGATTTGGGATCTTACTGGTTATTGACCATAGGACTCATTAGTGACTCTCCCTTGACTGCAACCAATGGTGTAGTTTCGGGGCGTCACATGACGAACCTATATCTATTTCACTCATTGAAGAATATTTGTAATTTCTTATCTACTTTTTCATCTCTCTCATTATGGTAAAGATTCCATGTTTAGTTTTTTTCTTTAGATATGAAATAATGAAATCTTTTACTTTCTATACTGCATCCCAGCTTCCCTTAAAAAATTACAAAACCAAAACCAAAACCAAATTTTGTATTCCCTCGCACGTGTGCACAAAAAAAGAAAAGAAAAGAAGAAGTATTCTGTGCACAAATTACATATCTTTTATCTTTTTTCAACCATCACATGTGTGCTTATTCATCTTGCAGGTAGTGACAGTGGCAAAATTCCAAGGAGGTAGTGCATTCGTATTCAATGTAATTCCCAATTCAGTTACAATTAGTGGAACATTTAGGGCATTTTTGAAAGAAAGTTTTAGGGCATTTTTGAAAGAAAGTTTGGTGCAACTTAAACAACGAATTGAGGAGGTACAGTTGTTAAAAACCGCTAACTTACATGCACTTTATTTTTCGTAGTTAGAAGATTGAGCAAGAATCATAGCATTACCTTCACCATGATACGGTCGTCCAGAAATCCATCTTATTTATTATGTATCAGAAAAAAAAACTACCCTACCCCCCTAAGCTAATGAGCAAGGAATGAGGAGTGGAGATTTCACACAAGTGAAGGACCTGTAAGGCCTGGTCCACACGCCATAAGGGAAGGGGAGATCAGGGGAGCCTTAGCTCTTAGAATCGAATTCTAAACTGGTTTGGCACTCGGGGATGCTTTTGATCAATATAGAATAGGAAAAATCAGCCCAGAATAAAAACCACCAAGATAATCATTGAGAAATTAAAATCGTGATTGGTTATTCATTTTGTTTGTTTTTTATTTTATTTTCTATTTTATATTTTCGATATGGCATCTTATTATAGATAAATGCAAATGACAGGTCATCACGAGACAAACGGCCGTGCAGAGGTGCAACATAACTGTCAACTTCGATGACAAGCCCCTTTACCCCTCAACCGTAAACAACAAAGAGTTGCATCGGTACTTTGGAAATGTTGCAAGGGATATGCTGGGCGAGAAAAACGTTTTAGAGATGCAACCATTGATAGGCGCATAGGGCGAAGTTTTTTGCAGAGGCGGTCCCAGGATACTTCTACAGGGTTGAAATGCAAAATGAGACTCAGGGTCAGCTTGAACCGAGGCACTCTCTGTACTTCACTGTAAATGAAGATGTACTTCTATATGGTGTTGCATTTCATGCATTGTTGGCTACAAGATACCGCCTTGAATATCAACAACCCAAATCTACATCATCTAAGGGAAGTTCTCATGATGAATTGTAAGGTAATTTGATTCTCAAATTGTACGTATACATAGATTTGAGACCAGAAATCACCCTGGTAGAGGGGTTAGATTTTTATTAGTCATTTTGGCAAGTCATATCTGTTTTGTATTGTTATATACATTCAGATTCTGAAGTTTTTAGTTTTTGGTGTCAATTTTTTACACCATCAATTTTTGCCTAACTTGAAGTAGTGAAACATACAACCTTTATGTTTTAACAAGGTAGGAAGAAAACAGCACCTTAGTTTGATAAAATAGAATGCTTCATCCTCATTTTAATTATGAAGGGAAAGCATGGAGGTCAATACAAGTGGCTACTCTCTCTCTCTCTCTCTCTCATTACATCAGAGGTTGTAATATGGGTTTGTTGCTAGTGAGCTATAAGGATTCCTTTTTGCTGGAGAAAACGGATATAAGGGGGCAACCAACATATATGAACCCTCTTTGGGCATGGCCATAAAAGTCCTTACTCACTGGAGAACTGGATAAAAAGACTCTAGACGGACTTAACAATACAAGGGAGCTACAGGCACTCTTTCAAGATGGGCTTTACCTATAGCCTAAACTCAGCCCTGTCTATAACATAGGTGCAATCTCTGTTTCTCCTCCTCACTCTTCATCTCATTCAAGAATTTGTATTATTATTGTTGTTATTTATTATTTTTGTTACATGGGACGCTATAGCTTTTTAGTTTGGTGAGCGAGAACTTGAACCCTTGACCTCTTAGTGAAGTGCAAATATTCTAGCTAATTTAAATAACCCAATTGATTGAATTTGTAGTTTTCTACATTATTGTGAAAACTCTTTATTCCCTTGCCCAAAGCAGGAAATTACAGAGCAAGCCAACTAGGAAAGTCTTGCTATCACAGCCATTCTCTCTCTCTCTCTCTCTCTCTCACGGTAAGTATGTATGTCCAATTAAAAAGCTTTGACCCCAACCCATTTTGGCAAGGAAGCTTGTATACATAGAAACATACGTATTTATAGTCTTGAAGGATCAAAACTAAAAAGGAAAAAATTAATTCCAAGCTTTACTTAAACCACCAAAACGTACACACATCATTACACATTAGAGAGCAACTTTTTTTTTGAATCTTCACACCTCCCTCTCTCTCTCTCTCTCTCTCTTTCTCTCCATGAAGCCCTCAAATTAAACTCATCACACAATTCAAATTCATTACACAAACTCACAAATGGCTCTGTTTCATCTATGTCTCTACCTCGACTTGTGGACCTAGCAAGGCGTAATCACCAGAGGTTCGGGACATCGTTGACACGGAAGCTCAAGAGGTACATGACATGTTACAAGCTGACAAAGCCAGGAACCAAAGAAAAATACAAAGGGAAGATAAGAATGGGTTCGTGTAACTTGTCGGATAAGAAAACTAGCCGCAGTGATGGTGCTATGCCCTCAAATTCAAACTCATCACACAAACCCATAAATGGCTCTGTTTCACCTATGTCTCAACCTCAACTTATGGACCTAGCAAGGCGTAATCACCAGAGGTTTGGGACATTGTTGACGCGAAAGCTCAAGAGGTACTTGACATGCTTCAAGCTGACAAAGCCAGGAACCAAAGAAAAATACAAGGGGAATATGAGAACGGATTCGTGTAACTTGTTAGAGAAGAAAACTAGCCACAGTGATGGTGGGAAGTCGGCAAATAGCGAAATGAATGAAGAAGAGAGGAATGAGAAGCTGACATCTGCCATTAGCTACTGCAAGGATTCAAAATGCCAGGTTAGTGAACATCAGTCCCGATTGCACAATGCAGTAGAAATTTCAAAATACGAAAATCTTGAAGCGCCGTCGTGCAACTGGAAGGGTATTTGGGACATGCGTTTTGAGAGACAGAAGATCTCGTATCTGAGTGAAAAAACTATGCCCTCAAATTCAAACTCATTACACAAACCCACAAATGGCTCTGTTTCATCTATGTGTCAACCTCAACTTGTGGACCTAGCAAGGCGCAATCACCAGAGGTTCTGGACATCGTTCAAGAGGTACTTGACATGTTACAAGCCGACAGAGCCAGGAACCAAAGAATAATACAAGGGAAAGATGAGAATGGATTCTTGTAACTTGTCGAAGATGAAAACTAGCCGCGGTGATGGTGGGAAGTCGCCGAATAGCTAAATGAATGAAGATGAGAGGAATGAGAAGCTGACATCTACCATTAGCTATTGCAAGGATTCAAAATGCCAGGTTAGTGAACATCATTCCCTATTACACAATGCAATAGAAATTTCAAAATACGAAAATCTTGAAACACCATCGTACAGCTGGAAGGGTAATGGGGACACGGGTTTTGAGAGACAAAAGATCCCGTGTCCGAGTGAAAAAACTATGCCCTCAAATACAAACTCATTACACAATTCAAACTCATCACACAAACCCACAAATGGCTCTATTTCATCCATGTCTTAACCTTAACTTGTGGACCTGGCAAGGCGAAATCACTAGAGGTTCTGGACATCGTTCAAGAGGTACTTGACATGTTACAAGCCGACTGAGCCAGGAATCAAAGAAAAATACAAGGGGTCACATAAACCCACAAATGGCTCTGTTTCATCTATGTCTCAACCTCAACTTGTGGACCTAGCAAGGCATAATCACCAGAGGTTCTGGACATCGTTCAAGAGGCACTTGACATGTTACAAGCTGACAGAGCCAGGAACCAAAGAAAAATATAAAGGAAAGATTAGAATGGATTTGTGTAACTTGTTGGAGAAGAAAACTAGTCGCGGTGATGGTGGGAAGTCGCCGAAAAAGAACTATAACTATTATAGCGAAATGAATGAAGAGGAGAGGAATGAGAAGCTGACATCTACCATTAGCTACTGCAAGGATTCAAAATGCCGGGTTAGTGAACATTAGTCCCGATTGCACGATACCGTAGAAATTTCAAAATACGAAAATCTTGAAACACCATCGTGTAGCTGGAAGGGTATTGGGGACGTAGGTTTTGAGAGACAGAAGATCCCGTGTCCGAGTGAAAAAACTATAGGATAATCCAGATCAGGAAGGGGACTGTGAATATGAATCTAGATGGGTATGGCTTACATGAGTTGAAGAAGGCTAGCATTGAATCTTAAAGAGTTTGATTTGTTTTCTAATTTTTTTTGCTTGAGAGGGATTTAAATTATGTATCATTCTAGAGAAGAAAGTTAACAAAGATGGTTGTACATGACAATTGGTTTCATTTGAGTGTAGTTTAGTCGGTCAAATTTTTATACAATGTAATTCTATTATAATATTCAGCCAATCATGAATTTTGAGGGCTTTTTTTCTTTTACAATTGTAGTTGTAGTAGACATTTTCTTCCCATTTAACTGTAGAAATATCTTTGGCCAAGTCAAAGCCAAGGGCTCTCTCTTCCATTCAGTTTTTAGAATTTGTTTTTTAAAAACATTTTCTTTTTTAGATTTGATTTTTTAAACACATTTCAAAAATTAGATTCATGAAAAAATAATTAAAAACAAAAATTCTTATTGTGTTTATTTTTGTCAAATTATTTTTTAATTTTTCAAAAAAATATATTAAACAAGAAATTTCGAAAACTTAGGCCTCGTTTGGCAAGTGGTTTTTTTAGTCAAAAAGCCAAAAAGTTACTAAAAAGCCAAAAAGCTAACAACCTATACCAAAAAGTCAAAGATTCCCTTTTCTCTCTACTTGTTGCACATTTTTTTCGTAAAAAGTCAAAAAGTTATCCCAAACATACTAGTTTTTTTAACATCATATTTTAGCCAAAAAGTCAAAAAGTTACTAAAAAAGCCTGTTCCTAAACGAGGCCTTAATCACCTTCCCCCCTAGTATATCAGAATATATGAATTGCAATTTATACTCCTCAAATATATTTATATATACGCACAGAAATATGCAGAGGCTTCACTTTGCAAAACAAAATCATTTTGCTACTTGCACTTCCTATTAGTGTTATGTTGTTTGAGATTCTTCTAGATAGACAGGTCAATATTGGCATTTTCTAATTTATAATCCACAAACATGAAAAAGAAATGGAAACAAAGAAAGTAATCATTCACACAATGGCTCCTATTAAATTAGACAATCTAGAGCATGTCCTTGACTGCAACACCAAGTACATAACATAATCACCATCAATACAAGCTCTCAAGCCATAATTTTTCCTCAAGCAATTAGATGTCGTAATAGTGTTTTTAAAAGCTTTAGGTGCATTGAGGTGCTAAGGTCTTTTGGAGTTTAAGCGTGAGGCGCAAGGCAAGGCGCGCGCCTTGCCGAAACGAGGCACAAGTTATTGAAGATAACCAAATTATTAATATAAGCGAAATTTTTAACATAAAACCAATATTCTTAAAATTTCAAAAAACAAAATAAAAAATAGAACGACATTTAATATTCCAAAAATCATGAAAGATAGCATTCAATGTTTCAAAAATTTCTTTAAAATAAGGGCAAATTACACAAATAGTCCCTATACTTTACCCCATGTGTCATTTTGGTCCTTGACATTTCAAATTGCTCCCCTCAATTTGACGAGGTGTGTCAATTTCGTTCAATAATTGACGCCCATTTGAAATTATGAACGGAAAGCCATCACTTGTCTCTCACGTGCTCCCTCTAGCAATTATTGAGGGGCATACTTGTCTTTTCACTTCAAACCCTAGGTTACCTCCCGCCAAAACCATATATGTTGTCTTTATCTCCATTATATACACATACAAACTCCAAAATTGATAGAAGACGGATGGAAGAAGACGATGGATCATGTACTATGCCGATGCAGAATGTAAGCTCAGTTGAAGACTTCTTGGACGGAGAGCAACCCTGGACAAAGGTTTTTGGAATGTCCCTAATATGGTGTAAGTGTAGATGGAAAAAAATTGGGATGTCCTTTTCTTATGGTGTTTGTAAAGCCTACTGAGGTGTTTAAGAAAAAATATGGCAGAGCAGACATGCATATGGATTTTTTCTATGGATGGATCCTCCATTGTGTTCTCGGGCTCGAGAGATCATAC